ATATTTCCCTGCAGCCGCTGACCCTTGGTTCATAGCCCCAGAAGAACCCGCTCCCATCCCCTGGCCCTCACTCTCGGTCCCGGTGTCGCGTAGAATGTGGAATCGTGACCCAGAGGGCGGTGCAGAGCCGGCCGAAGGCACACCGGCCGCCGCAGGCTGCTTTCTTTGTCGATTAGGATGTTTCCCATTAGTCTTAGCTAGTAACCACGGCCCATATGCATCACTTCCATCACTCTCAACCCGAGACGCCGTGGTATTTTTAGCCTGTTCATTCTCCTTCCTGGTCCCCTCATCATTTACCACTTTGTCGGCCTACTTCGGGCACTCAGTGTCGGGGTTATCCGGTCGGCGTTTAGGACATAGCGCCATCGAATGGCCGTAAAACCCACATGTGAAACAAATCTTCGATAGGAATTCATATTCCACACGTTGAAATTTTCCTTGAATATTGAAACTGGCGCACAGCGGCTTATCCAAATCCAACACCACCGCTAGGCGAGCATACTTACCGCGAGATTGGGCTGCCGTTTGGTGGTCAATCTTCACCACCTTGCCAAGGATATCACCAATCATCCGGAACACCTTTTTGTGGTACAAATTAACCGGCATTCCCGGGAGCCTGACCCATGACACTAAGGATTTAACCCAATTACACGTGGCATAAAAATCCGCACTCCACGGCTGGACATGGAGATAGAACTTTTGGTACTGCTTAGAGACAACCCAAGGGCCACCGACCAGGGCCCGAACCGTATCTTCTTGAGTATAAATGCGAATTTGGAAGTAACCGTTCTCAAGGTCAATCATAGTACACCCGGCCATGAACGGCCACAACGTTACCAGCTTTGTGTAGAGCAAATGGTGTGAGAGTTTAGCCCCCATTACCTTAACAATCACCACATTCTTCCACAAACTTAATAGTGTCTCGTAGAAACTATCTTTCAGACGGATATCCGGCACATGTCCTTGCCGATCGACAACAACATCATAATCTGGTGCCAAACTGTTGTCTTCATCAGCAAGTAAATCGACATGTTGTGTGTTGCTTGTAAGCATATCACGGAAACTGGAACCCCTATTGGCCACACAAGGCGCCCTGACCAACGAAACCGGACGGGAATGCTCCTCGACCGGTGCTCTTACAGACAAATCCGAATAGGGACCTGCATCAATTGGGCCCTCCTGCACTCGAGTGCACTTCAGCAAACAGGCGCTCTCTAACGGTGGAGACGTGAACTTGAATAATCCAAAATTGTCAGGTCGTGATTTGTCAGGGGGGTCCGCGTTCGGGACCACCGGTAGCCGTTGAGAATGGTCAGACGCCGTCCTAGGGTTTTCAGACTCCATCGAACAAAATATAAATTAATTCAATGTTCAAAAGCTGTAACTATATTATTTAAGTTAAATAAACTTAACTTAAAGATTATTTAAATTAAATGTTAATTAGAAATTATATTATTTTAATTAAATGAAGCGCATCAAAAACATCATCCAAATTATATAAAAAATGTGATTATGTTTACAAATAGTACTATCTGTCTACAACTCTCGAAAATTAGTTTAATACGATTTTTTATATACTCTTCCAAATGCTATGAGATAATGTCAACTATAAAAAAGCTTAATTTAGTCTTTTTATTTTAATATTACTTATTTTTTAGTAAAATATTTAATAATTCTTTTTTGTTAAAAAATTGATTTTGTGTAACGTCCCGTTTTATTTTAATTGATCATCTTGCATTTGCTCGACTTGAAATTGGAATCTCAGATGTGTTTTGCCTTAATAGAATTAATTGTCTAATTGATGATTTTTTTGCAGTGAATTTTTCTTAAATTATGTGATTATATGTGTAATTGTTTAAATGGTTTGCCTTGGTGTGTATGATTACATATATTTATTTATGCCTTAGAACTGTTTCTTGTGTGTGATGTGATGTATGCGGTATATTTTTCCTTGGTATTATTTTCATTTTGTTTGTCCCTTATCAATTAAATTCGAGAACGCCCTTAACTATTTCTCTTAGTCACAATGCATGTTGTATATCACTCTTCTTATATATATGAACGAGTTAGTACCCTTCAATAAGCGACACTTGTCCAGTTGAGTGTTCTTAAAAAATGACACGCGTCTCGCTTTATTTACCTTTCTGCCACTTTTTTGAACTAACTATATTGCCCTTAATTTGCTCTACTTTTTAGAGTTAAGTACGATCATTTTTTTCTTCTTGATGAAGTCTTGCAGACTCACCG